AGAAGCAGTGTGGTACATACAGGATGTGTGTGTGCACGTGGTACGGGGCACGCATAAATGGGAAGAGCTTATGCTGCGATCAGCAGATATAGCTGCTTTTCTGCACACGTTTGTGCGGGTCTGTATTTTAGCAGGACACTTCATAAAGGTAAAGTCTTCTTTCGTATGGCTCTTCATTAGCGCGGTCATTAATTTTGTACACATTTACACACATTTCGGATACTTCAAATTCAAAGTGCCAATGTCTTTTAATTCTTCTTCGTGCCAGGAAAATTTCAATATACGTATTTCTTTTCGTACAGGGATGCACCTGCATCGGCTCCGCCTGCACCTCCCTTGTACTTTCCATATGTCGCCAAAGAGTTCGCTTCTGCTCTCTTTAGTAACACTTCTCTGGCCTTTTGAACATTCTCCTTCTTTCCTTTCCAGGTATTCAAAACAGATGCCTGCAATGCTCTACCGTAGGAAAAGGTCAATGCCCATGGGTGTGGACCTAACACATTCATGGAATTCAGGTTGACAGATGCTTCTTCTTCTGATTGGCCTCCCGATAAGAATACAACTCCTGGTAAAGCTGGGGGCACCGTCCTACTTAAAGTCCTCACTGTGAGGAAACCAATGTCCTGGGTTTTGGTTTTCACAGCACAGTCGTATCCTGCGGTCACCATGTTGGGCTTCAATAAAGCTCCTTCCAATAAAACTCCTTGATCATGTAATGCCTTAAAAACACAAGCCAAGACCTTCTGAGTTACAGTTGCACATACTTCTATAGTATGAGAACCATCAGCCAAAATTTCGGGTTCAACAATTGGTACGAGTTTGTTCTGTTGGCAGATAGATGCATATCTAGCTAATCCCCATGCAGTTTCTTGAATGGACAAATCAGTTGGCTTTCCCTTAACTGGATCAATTACTAATACAGCTCTCCATTTTGCAAACCTTGCACCAGCTTTGTAATATTCTTTACACCTCTCAGCTAGACCATCCAATCCTTGGGTTGACTTCTCGTCATCAGTGCATGGGATTGTAACTAAACCTTTGTCAACCTTAATTCCTGGAATAATTCCCTCATCGTGCAATAAATTTACCAAAGGGACACCAGCTTCATTCTTCTGGAATAGAGTTTCTTCAAACAAAATTGCTCCTGATATAAATTTGCCTAATCCCTTAGTTCCGAAAAGTAAATCTCTGTAGCTGGCTCTGTTTTCAACCGTATTTTCTACATTGATGTTGTCAAATCTTTTCTTAATAGTTTGGGTAGATTCGTCAGCAGCTAAAATTCCCTTTCCTGCTTGAACAAGCTTCTTTGCTGTGGTTGCTATTTCTTCAGCAACATCTGCGGGGAGTTTGAGGGGGGCGTTTTTATATTCGGATCCAGTGGCCTGCAAGGAGGGAGCGCAAAAAATATAGAGATATCAGTATTTGCAAGGATATAATAGGCAGATAGCCTCATTTTTTTTTTTTTTTTTTTTTTTTCTTCTCAGCTAGCCAATTCGTCATTCGTGCACAAATTGTATTCCTCTCGGTATGTAGTATATACTATTACGCACACAATTTTGTGTACACTACAATGGGCACATGTACAAAGGGAATGGAAAAGCGGAAAATCCACATACATATCATACAAATGTAGTATAAAAATAACATAACCATACTGGGGTGAGGGCTACTCCTCCAACCCCAAACATTTGGTCATCTCTCTCTTCATTCAACAAGCAAAAAACTCTCAATTATGTTCAGTACCATTTTGTGAGTAATCAGATGTTCTACGTATAGGTATAGTTATATATATATCTAATATACTTTATATAGGATTATCGTAAGCACGAAAATACATTAAAAGTTCAGCAAAAATTATGCGTAAATTATTATTTATTTTTTTTGTGAAAAAAAATGTAGCAAAAGCATTCGCGAATATATTTATATATTTGGAATAAAGGCGTCAACTTAAAAGTAATTTCCAAACGCGACATACAAAATAATTGAACAAATTTGCAAGTGCGCAAACGTAGTTGCTAGCATGTACAACTCACATAAGTGACATATTTTATATAATGCAGTTGTTACATGGGTAACGTGATGCTTTTGGTATGCTAATGTAAATATCTTACAATATATCACCTTCACGCACCGGTACATGCATTACGCGGTAGTAAACACAGGTTCGGTGGTTGGTCAAATGATCTGATATTATTTCCACCACATCGCTTTTGTGTCAATTGCGAGGGGCACAAGTTCTTGCATGTGCAAGAAAATTATGTACGCGAGAATGCGCGCAAACATGCACTGCATTCGGTTACTCCCCTTTCAAGCGCTACTCCCAAGAACGTTGTATGTGAACTGCCAAATGATGACACAAAAAATGTAAGCACTTTCCTGGTGCAACGGAACAAGTGCCACCACGTAGGTTTTCTCTCAGCATAAAAAAACAAAAAAAACAAAAAAAAAAAAGCTTGCAAATGCAAACACGAATGGAAAGTGCGGAAATATACACTCATAAAATGCGAATGTACAGAAAAGGAAAAAAAAAAAAAAAGCATTTTTTTTTTGTTTCCCCGCTCCATATATGATGTAAATGTAAATGCCCAAATCACTAAACGTTCGCATGTACTTCTACATACATATGAGCAAACTCCAGTTCCTCATCATTATGCCTTACCATTGTTAAAAGTTAAGAGTTTTGCGGTAAATATGTTATTTGTAAGTATGTCGAATGTAAGTGTGTTTCTTCCCTGCAAAAATAAAAATAGATGTTTTTCTTCTTGGTGAAGTATGTAGAAATATATTTTTTCCCTTTAAATTTTTTTTACAAAATTAATGGATTATAAAAAAGCATTTCCCCCCTCTATATGCATACCACTGTGTTAAAAATTATTCCAATCGTTTTAAATGTGTAATTGCCAAAGGGGGGAAAAACAGCGATGTGTTCGACTGAATGTATTTTATTTTAAACGTGAATATGAAGCATAAAATGAATTTTTTAATCGCGCAATTGCTTTAATTTTGTGTTTAAAAGAGAAAGAAGTGGACGAAATAGAAGAAGCAAAGTAATCGAAGGCGTGGTTAATCGTTTTAAAAAGATTAACATGTTCCTTTTTGCCAAATATGTGTGGAAAAAAAATTAAAATTCAAAAATGATAAATTTGAAAAGAAAAAAAGGAAAATAAACTTTTGTAAATATATTTAAATGGAAAGATGAAAAAGTTTATTTTTTAATTTTGCCAAAAAAAAAAAAAAAAAAAAAAAAATGGTGAACGTTTTTTTAAAAAACCCCTTAAAAAAAAAAAAAAAAAAAAAAAAAATGGTGAACGCTTCTCTTAAATAGCCACTTAAAAAAAAAAAAAAAAAAAAAAATTAGCACGAAAGTATAAAATCTCGCATGAATGCAAAACATGTCGCAAAACTTTGCACATCGTTAAACGTCTTATTGGTCGTTTTTCTTTTCTGTTCGATAAAGCGAAAAAGGATTGGACACGAAAAGTTTTCGAAGGTACTTACCTGTGTGTACGAGGAAAGGGGGAAAAAACTTCCTACATGCGTTCGAAGAAAATCGATAGGAAATAGTTCTATAAATTTTGTTTCATCTGAGGCAGATAAAAAACAAAAAAAAGAAGAACAGTGTTCTACATCCTTTTTGGGTAAAGGTTAGCATGCGCTTAAAACAGGGGGGAATTTTCAAATGTTAGTACGCGAGACGCACAAACAGGTGTGAGCATGTGTGAACATGCGTTTGCATATACATACATATAAACATACATGCGCGTGGGACTAGCTATAAATGGGCGTTTTACAGAATAAGTGAGGCGCAATTTGGTACTCACCAGTGAATGTTCACAGGGACATAAGATCTCAATACCCTCATATATTTTTTTAATGTGCTTTTGCCGTTCACTTTAAGTGTGTCTCTGCTCATAGGGAGCAGAATCGTATGGAAGGTCAAAAAAATATATATATTTTTTTTATTCACTGATTGTTCAACGCGCATTTCTGATTGCCTCCTACATCGCTTATCATAATACTGCATCATCGTCGCTTGACCGACTACGCGTGTTTACGCTTATGTGTGTCATATAGTGTCCCCTCCATGTAACTGCAATGGGGCATAAATACGATTCGCCGCCATGGCGATTATTTTGTCTTTCCTTCCAGGGATACACACTACGACGTACCTGCGTCCATATGGGCATGTGCCCCTAAATGTGTTATTTAAAGAATGCAATATGTCATCCTAATCATATGACTTGGAATCATTTCAAAAGAGAGGATTCCCCCCTTTTCATTGCTTAGGTGCACTGAGTACACAGGTTGGAGCATTTTAAACGAACATCTGCTTATCTCACTTTCGAAATATGTTGTACAGGTACACCGACAAAATATTGTAGTAAGCAAATATAACTATTTGCTCGAAACAGTGCACCGGAGGAAGCTCTTTTTTCCAGCCCACGCTACATCCCCGTTATTGCACCATTTTTAAGGGAACTATATATACTTACGTTCATATCAGTACACGCACAATGAGCTTTTTTTCCGACCCTTTTTTTGAATCACTAATCTGTTCTTCATTTTTTGTAACATATCAAACCTTTTTTTCCGCACCCTTTTTATGCCATTTTGTTTATTTCCACTTTTTGTGAAGCAAATAAGTTGTGCCCTTCTTGCGTGTAAACCAAACGGTCACTATAAATTCCTCTGTTCATGTCGAACATGCTTTGGTGTGAGAAGCACCCCCCCCTTCTTGTTCTCCAATTAACCATGCCATGCTAACCACCACTAAAATGACAATTTTATGAATCCTAAAATTGACACTTGCAAGGAATGCACTAAGCACGTGTTTTGCTTTTGCCCACCCCTCTTCTCATAGTGTAAATATTGGCATCCATGCACACGTAAAAAAAAAAGAAGTATATGCATTCTTGGGGAAAAACTAAAGGGAGGTATAATACTCTTGTAAGGAAGATGAAAGAACACCAAAAATGCTCATAACTTTTTACTAATAGAAGATGTTTCCAAGAATAAGTTGCCTTCCTTTAATTGGGAAAATCTGTAAGAACCACCAGAAGGCTACCTTTGCGTCTGTTCCTTTAGTAAACAAAATTGTGCGTACAAGAAACTCCTTCACTTTGAACAATTTAGCAAATGAAAAAGATGAAGCGGTGCGCAACATGTTGGATGATGGCATTTCCTTTCTGCTATGCGGGGACTGCACCGTCCATCATAAACCAGGGTTAACATACGAAATAGGACATAGGAGAAGCTTCCATTTGGGAAACAGCACTGAACTTATTATACCAGCACATCGCATAAGGAGCAACATAAGTGCTAGACCTTGGGGAAGTGAGAGTCCCCATCACAGTGAAGACTCTGGAAATGGGATGCTCCCCACCAATTCCATACGCACAGCATGTGTACAGAAAACACTTCATTTTAGTTGGCTCAAAAATATTAGGAAGAAACAGTACTACAAGATTATCGGGAAAATGGGCGTTAAAAAAAGGAACGCTGGAATGTACTGGAGTTTCTATGTCAACAAGAGGAAAAAAATTAGAAAGAAGCGCAGGACTATTTAAGCAGCGTGTCACGTAAGTGGGGACTCACGTGTACACCAGCATGATATTTTTTGTCTGCCTAGTGCAACACAGTGTAACCTTTTTTTGTAGGACCATTTTATTTGATGATCACATTTTTTTTTTCATGTTGAGGCAGAACAAAAAAAAGTTACGAAGAAATAAATGCTACCCAGAAATTGGGACAAAATTACACTAATGCACTTTTTGCAAACGGTGACTATATTATGACTCTCTCCGCAAAATTCAAGAATCTTTTTTTTTTTTTTGTTTTGTATATCATCTCTTTGAAGCAACTCATCAGGTGTGAGTATGTGCTGTCGTAAACGAGCGCACTTTGAGAAGGCTTAAACAAGGTTGATAACTGCAGGAATATCAGTGGGGTGGGGATAAAGCGTCTCGTTCAAACAGGATGCGGCGTATATTTGTAGGGTCACCGCGTTACAAATGCCCACACATGCTTGCATCTCATCTGAGGAACAGTTTTTTGGAGACCCTTTTTTTCTGCCATTCTACTCCCCCTCCTCGAGGATCCTAACAAATAAACGGGTGCACACACAGCAGATTTACATGCCCAAAAGGGGGAAAAACAGAATGGTACATACATATCCGTGTGAATATACCCCCCACACACACACCTCTGTTTATTAACCGCCCCGAAGGCATAAGTCAAATTATAAGCGCCGGTCCTTGCAAACGGGCCCCGAAATAGAAAAATTCACGGTGAAAAACTTATTCTTCGTCTTCGAAATTTCGTACGAAACATTTCTTGTTTGCAAAAATATGAGCGAATCGCTTTCAGGTTTTATCACCCGAAAAGGGGCACCATCCCCTTGGTCACACGGAACGCTTGTGGCATCACCAATGTTCGGTTCTGCCTTATCACGCTCCCCGTTATACTCATTTTTGTACAACTTAATTTCTACGTCATCATTTGAATGTACAAAGGGGATATAAATACACGTAATTTTCTTTCCGTTGTCCATTTTTCCATACCCCCCTTGGTAATGCTTTTTTAAGTAAGACTTATTGGGGGAGAAGTACAAAAACTGAAATAGTGTACCTATCTGCAAAGATAAATTTGCCTTTTTATTAAGCTCATATGGAAGTAATGATAGCTCTTTTAGTAATTTATACAACCCTCTTTGTTTCTGTCTGTCCAAGCTAGTAATATATGTCCAGCAGTAAAAATCCGTTCTCACATTTTTGTACTCATGGCCAAATCCGTTAAACTGGTTATTATATTCGATAAAAACTAGCTCGTCAAATATCAACTTGGTGTAGTCCTTGCCCAGGAAATTTTTCTGTAGCCCCACATGATCATGCATCAAGCTTGCAATTGTGTCAGTCTTTATTTTATTTAAGTCATGTTCGCTTATGTTCAGGGGGTTTGCCAAAGAAACAATATTTTTTGTACTCTTGGAACTTATTTCTGTAATTTTTTCCTTCACCTTTGTTGTTATATACTTACTAAATACCAATCTCAAAATATCACATCTTAAAAAATGATCCGTTTCTAGGATTACTTTATTTTCTCCCTTCGAAGCAGCTTTGGAAATTACATTTGTATATATGGTGAATGCCTTTTGTGTTATTTCTGCCAGGGACGTTTTCACATTTTCTTCTTCCTTTTCACTGTCTAGTATTTCTCCCAATACATCATCATCATCTTTTTTAAATTTGAAGCAACTTATATTTACATCACTATGATGGTCACTACATGAGCTGCAACTTTGTTTGTTTAATTTTTTTTCCGTTCCTGTTTCTATTCTCAGATCCTTCTCTAATTCGACGCAATATTGGTAGCTAATGGTCCCGCACAAATAATTGTAAAATTTTGTCACAGTTTCATTGTCCCACTCGACTTCCATATTGGGAAGAGGAGCGCAGACGTGCAAAGTCGTTCCGTTCCGATGGATTAATTTCGTGGAACGAAAAAAAACGAAAAGAAAACAGTTCAGTTTGAAGTAAACCTTTTTGTTTCCTCTCTTCGTATCACCACTATGAGCCTATGAATTACTCATGTCGCGCCTGAATATACTAACTCTCAAGTGTGAACAACGGGGGGGTACCATACTTATGCCTACGTTTTTTTCCTCCTCTGATTTTATGACCACATCGTCTGGAGAGGACTCCCGGGCAGGCTGTTCCGACGAGGGAGAGATCATTCCAGCATTAAGCTCACCCGCTTGAACTCTCTCATTTGCATACGCACATGTGCATGCACAATGTTGACGCGAACAGTAAAATTGCAAGTGATATATTCAAGGAACTAGCATGTACTATACTTTCACATTTACTCCTTTTTTTGTCCCCCCCCGCAATATCCCTTTGTCTGTTCCAACAACTGCACGCTCAAAAACGACTCAAACCACGCGGCTTGTTTTTCCGCTTCGCATTCGGTAGATATTAGCAGCATAGCTTCCCCATTTATTCCCTGAAAATATTGCAAATATTTGGAAAAAAATTGCCTTGACAATAAGTTGGCACGTTCGTCAAAATAAAGGGTTTTTTTGTTTTTTTTTTGTTTCGTTATGAGGACGTGGTTAAACGGGGTTAAAAAAAAAAAAAAACAGGGGAAGAAAAAACGCGTTAAACATGTGCAAAATTGCGCTAAAAAAGATATAAAAAAACGCCTGCGTAAAATCGAAATGCAGCGGCTTCAATGCTTACCCTCTTGCACAACTGTGTGTGACAAAAGTGCGTCCATTTTTTTTTATTCATTCAAATAGGGTCACGATTTATTCGTGTTAACTTAATCTTTTTTCTTTCTTTTCGCCGCTTTCTTGCTCACCCGTTGGCGCAGCGGTGGTAAGAAAAAAATGGCACCTCTTGGTGACAGGGGCATGGACATGCAGAAATCACGCGTGTCCTTCCACGCTAAGTACAACCGCCGCTACAACCCCGGACGACCAAACAAAGCGTTCGTGATGTTCTGCTTCCAGGTCAGGTTTTCCCTGAAGTAACTTTTTATGTTCTGCACACAATCTTCTAGCTTGATTTCCCGTTCCCCCGCTGATTTCTCCTTGTCCTGTGTGAGCTCTCGTAATTTGATGACGCCCCTTTCAATTTCATCACCAATTATAACCGCCAGGGGAATCTGCTTCTCCAAAGCGTAAACCAGCTGCTTCTGTATCTTCTGGTCCTTCACATAGATAAACTCCGTCGATATGCCCTGCTCCCACAACTTTTTACACAACTCGATGGTCTCCTTAAAGCAGTTTTTCTTGATGTTGCATATGAGAACATCTACCGAGTTGTCCTTCAGGCCTACGGCGGGGGTAGCGACATTCCCCGGTGAAGCAACTTTTCCGGGGGTTGAATCTTCCATAGTTACCTCCTTCTTAGTAAGATGGCCACTTTCCCCTGGACCCAGAAACAAGCCACCCCTCTTTACCACCCCTTCAGCAATGGCAATGATTCGCTCGATACCAACAGAAGCGCCAACGGAGGGGATGTACTCCTTTCGCCTGTTCCGTATTAAGTAATCGTATCTTCCGCCCGCAGCCACACTTCCTAGTCCCGTCTCGGACAGTACAACAAATTCGAATATAATCCCCGTGTAGTAATCCAAGCCCCTGGCAAGGGACAAATCAAAAGAAAATTGATTGAGCATATTAAAATGTTTTAATAACTCAAAAATTTCCTCTAAATGATTTATAACTTGATACACTTCATTTTTGTAAGATTCTTCAAAAGGGGATTCACTTAAATCATTTCTCAAAAATTCAATGACCAAAAAAGGTGATAAACTTAGCGTCTTCGAAATGTACATTTCGATTATATCAACCGATTCGACAGGGATTCCTTTCTCATTTAATAACTCATCCCGAAATTGCTGAAATGTTATTTTGTCCAATTTGTCTATACTGCTGGAAATCGTTTTTACCTTATCCTTGTGAATATTACTAGAGAGAAGCATGTACTCTAATATTTTTCTGTGATTTATTTTGCAGTTAAAATTACCAATCACCTTTTTTAAATTATTTAAAATATCCCAAAATATGAATAGAATGTGAAAGTCTGTACGAAGAGTGTCATATTTTCCTACTATATCAAAATCACATTGATAAAATTCTCTAAACCTTCCTCTGTTCATACTGGGTTCGTCTCTTCTGTAGACTTTTCCAATATGAAATCTTTTTAGACAATTTATATTGTTTGTGTTGACAAAGCGATATAAAGGAACAGTTAAATCATATCTAAGAGATAGATTTTCCCCTCCTTGCTCTTTCAAATCGAATATTAATTTTGAGTCTTCTCCATATTTATCAGTTAAAGTCTCCTTAAGTTCAAAAATGGGGGTATCTATTTCTACTGCCCCGTGTAGTAAAAACTTCTTCTTAACAAAATCGAAAAAAATATTTCTCAATTGCATATCTTCTCCTGTAAAGTCTTTCGCACCTTTCGGAACCTTCAAATTAAAATTGATATTCTTCTGGATTAGTACTTCCCCTATCTGGTCATCCAATTTGTACACATTTAATCTTCTCCTCAACGAAGGGAAGAAATTATTGATAACAATTTTGTTTCCACGCATAGGTACCATTTCGTCTGCCTCCCCCTCTGTTCTTTTAAAAATGCCCAATTGTGAGTCCTCCCTATCTTCCACAAGGGAGTAGAGAAAATTTTTAAACTCCAGACACCCAATCCCTATATGGTGCACGCCCCCTGACACTTTTTTATTTTTCAACACTTGTGCTAGCGCTTTGTTATATGCCTTTATGTCGTACATAATGTTAGTCTGAACAATCATATCCGTTAGCAGCATTAGCAGCTCGTAAAATATGCTGTTCATTTCGCTAAACTTTTGTAACTCATTAGGGAACTTCATCTGTACGAACTTCTCTTCGATGCTCTTTAAATATTTCTCTTCATACAACTTGGACAGAATTGAACTTGATGATTTGCTTCCTTCTGCAATGCCATCCTCTAGCAATATAAATCCGTTCGCCAAGGGCTTGTTCAAATCTGGGTGTTCTCCTACAATTTGCTCATTCGCCGTAAGAAATTCGTGCATCTTCGCAACGAATAATGGTACCACTTTGGCTGTAATGTCCAGCACATTTTTAATGTGGACCCTAAGAGTGTCATTCATATTTTTACACAACATGGTGATATAGCTATTTAATGAGTTCATCTCTTCTGTGTACTCATTTCTATAGCTATCTATGTTGTTCTTAAAATTTTGATTTATGAGGTACATAAAATATTCACCGTCGTCCGTTAGTTTACTTTGCGAATAAACAAACAATAACAAGTTTGCGCTAAATCGTTTGGACAAGTCCTTATTCTTCTCCACCTTAGAATCATGTGTCATCCATTTGATCTTACTTATAAGCTCATTTATCGATTGTATGTTACTATTATTCACATTATTGTTAAAGGCGTTTTTAAATAGGACGTCAGAATTTATCTGAAATAACTCCAGAACGTTACACAGGCAGCAGGTCAGGTACTTGCACAAGGACACCGTTTTGTACGCATTTAAAAAAACTATGCTACAGTTTTCTAAGACAACACTTATACACATGTTGAAATCATTTAGGTTGTATTCCAATTTGGCACATTTTTTCAAATTTGAAATGAAAAACTGTTTTAGTAGTTCACTGTGTGAGGACTCCTTTTGTGATGATGGACTGGGGGCGGGGGAAATTTGTGAGGGACACAACCCCTCGACCCCGCAAGTACACTCCGTGGTGCTGTTGATTGAACAACAAACGCTCCTTATCAAATTTAAATCCAAACTATTCTTAAACCTTAGCATATTTATGAGGAAAAATAAGTACAAGCATTTCAATTCGTCCATGTGATAGCTGCGGGATTTTTCTGTCCCGATCTGCTGCCCTTTGGGGGCTTCTTCCCCCCCTCCTACATTTAATTTCGTCCCAGTGATGAACGACCCATCTCCTTTTGCTAACTGGTCTACACTTATTTTATGCTCGTTCAATTTATAAACGGAATCTTTAAAGCTGGACGGTTCCAGCTTCAGGTGCCTCTGGTGTATGCATACATCGACCACATCTTTCGTGTTGAATATTTTGCTTTTATAAACGCTTATGTTCATTTTTGTCGCAGCACACAATTTTCGTTTTCCTTTCTCTTGTATAATTTGTACACGGGAAAACGAATGACAACACAGATTTCTTACGTAAATTTGGACGAATGAGCAAACTTTAGGAGACATAAAAAAAAGGGCATCTTCTCGAAGCTCAGGGTTCTTAGTTCAGGGTTCACTGTCCACAGATCATATCTCTGACTACTGCGTCGGTTCGTTCGAGGATTATGTATTACGCATAATGTTATAGGCATGCATAGGGATGCGTTTCTTCTTGCATGTGCGCGGTTAAGAATTCGTTGGCAGTAGGCAAGCGCTTACTCCGCAAGTTAGAACGTGCAACACTGTATTACTTAATTTGTGCTAATGCTTAACATGTACGTATCTAGAAGCTGCTACACTTAAAAAAAATATATATAACTGCATTTTTTTTTTTTTTTTTGTATTAAAGAGGTGGTAAAAATAAGGTAACTGCCTCTCATCCAATATGATGTTTGCCTTTTTGCGATTCACTGTTTTTTCTGTTTTCCCAAAAGGGAGATGGGAACATCAAATGTAGCAATATGGCAGAGAAAAAAAAAATAATGAGCGGTGCCCAGGTCGGGTGAATTCATAACCATATAAACTCCGCGACCAGTGCGCAGTGCGAACAGCATGATATGATGGGCGCTTGAATTGAGACCTAAAACCGCGGCGTTTACCACCACTGCATGAATATCACATGAAAGGCAACATCCTTATCACATGTTTAAAATTTCGCATCTGATAATTTGTACGCATATACTTATGGGGTTTATAATATGTTGCAGTTTTTACGCATTGTTCTCGCCCCTGCGCGAATTACGGTTTTGGTATTTTACTTTTTTTTTTTTTTTTTTTTTGACGTCATTTGATCGTTTCTGTCACCATTTTTGCTCTTTAATTTTCGTGCGTTTTCGTAACATTCTGCTCTGTTTATTTTCCCAGTGCTTAAAAAGTTGTTACATGTTTGCCTATATAACTTGTGGCAACTCCCCTACTACACGTTTTCCCCCCATTTCCTTTTTATTTCTACTTTATTTTGTCCTGTCCAGCCGCTCGTATTTTTCACGCAAACGTTTTTTTTTTTACCCCCCCAGATGAAACGTAATTTATACGAAAAGGCGAGATAACAGGACGGGGGGACTTTTCATGCATGTATAAATGTACATGCTTATGCAAATATAAACATACAATAATACACGTATGCACGAAATGGGGCAAAATAGACCACAAAGCAAAATGATTTTTAAGCCCCTTGCTGTCAAGACTCCCCTCCTCAAAGAGTAAGGCAACTAATAACATTGGCCTTTTGCGAAAGCGTCCATGTCCATGTGAATACATCATCGGCAACAAACAAGGGGGATTACTTCTCCCCGCAATGCTGAAAGTTCTGCTTATGGAAAACTCCATATATATATATGACCAATTTTAAGATAATTTTCTTTTTTCTTTTCCACAATTGTGATGAGAAAAAAAAATAACACTGCACTGATAGAACATTGCCAAATGGACGCTCGTTTCTTCTGCCCAAATTCATCATTTCTAATTTGTATCACCCCTGTTCAGGCTTCACAAAATAGGACTGGTGTCCATCGAGGTCGCCGATGCGGGAAGCGTAAAGGTTCTAACGGAAGATGATCTGGCAGGTTCACCCCAGGGAGGTGAAACGAGTGGCACTAACAAGGAAAGAATAAAAAGACAAGAAATTAATGGCAACAAAAATGGGAGAAAGTTATCTCCTAGGAAAAGAAGCAAAAAGAGAAAACGCGAAAATGTTGACCAGACAAATTCGGAGCAGGACTCTAAAGCAGTTATAGAAAAGTCAATTGAGAAAGAGGACTCCAGTAAGAGCAACTCTGGTAGTGAAGTGGCCCCAGAACAAATTGACAGCCGCGGGGAGGACACCAATAAGGAGTTCAAAAGGAGGAAAAAAAAAAGAGGGAGAAAAAAAAAAAAACCAAAAAATGCCCCCACGGGATGTAATGAGGAGGGTGTTTCTATGGACCAGGCTGCGTGTTCTGCTGACTCCCCCACCACTTTCCGCGCAAAGGGTGAAGGCCCCAAAAGGGAAAAATTCGACATACAAAAAGTGATCCAGAATGAGGAGAACTTTGAACGAACGGAAGAAGTCAAGTACAAGGTACACTACGTCAGGTGGAACCTAAATGGAAAAGTCAACCTCCTGTATAGCATAATGAAATCATTATATGACGCTAAATTCTGGAAACCCACAGAAATACAAAAGCAGACTCTAGAGCACTCCATAAATTTTAAGAATGACATAATCGTAGTGTCCAAAACGGGCACGGGCAAAACGCTAACCTTTTGCATACCCATATTGAACAATATAGTAAAAAACAAATTAAGGCAACACGAAAAAAGGGGGAATTGTGTTTCTAAACTTAGGTGCATCATACTAGTTCCAACAAGAGAACTAGCCATTCAGATTTTAAGCCATTTCAGTATCATAAATAAATACACCAACATTTACATCGCAACAATTATTGGAGGATTAAATCTTAATAAACAAAAAAGAATTATATCGAACAAACCAGAAATCTTAGTTTGCACCCCTGGAAGATTGAAGTATTTTTTACTCCTAAATGATAAGATAAACTATTTGGATAATATGAAACACGTCAGATATTTTGCATGCGACGAAATTGATAAAATGATAGAAACGTCTTTCATGAAGGACATCAATTTTATTGCCAAACATTTGTATAAGTCCGTAGGGCAGAAAAAAAAATTTATTCAAACTTTTCTCCTGTCTGCTACTCTAGGGTTGTCAGTTCATTTGCAAAATGAAAATCTAGCCAAATTGTTAAAATATGTTACCATAAGGAAAGAAAAATCTTGCATCATCAATTTGGCCGATGATCATTTGGTAGACAACCCCTCAACGGGTGAGGGAGGCAGTATCCTGCCTGATGGCCTCTCGCTCAACGTGGTCAAATGTGAAAGGAAAAAAATACTACAAAAACTTTTTTACCTTCTCAAGCTATATTTTCTGAACGGTTCTGTGGACCACTCAGAAGATGACAAGAATCAGTTAAACCGAAACAATGACAGTGCCGAAAATGGAGAGATAAAAAAAATAGTTATTTTTGTAAACACTATTAAGGAAACCAAAGAGCTAAATAGCATATTTAAATTTTTATTTTTCGACCAAGGGGTAGAGTCATCTGTACCAAAAAAATACCGTTGCGACATGTCGCTGAAGGAACGGATAAACATTTACTCCATACACTCCAAACAGTCACTCAAAGAGCGTATGCAAAGCATTTCAAAGTTTTCTCAATCAACCAACCATTCTGTTCTGTTTTGCACGGATGTATTAAGCAGAGGAATCGACTTGGACAAATGTGACGTCATAATTCAACTCAGCTGTCCCGTTTCGGATATCACCTTTGTACATCGATCTGGTCGCACGGCTAGAAATTTCAAGACAGGTAAAGAGTCGCCCCTTTCCCCCTGTAACGCCCCGAGGGGGGGCACATATTAAGAAATGGCCCACGCTCTCCCCCACAAAAAAACACCTTCATAACTGTATTTGTGTGAAATTAACCTATCTATTGTCATAGCGTATATTTAAAAATACGTTCCTGGTAAACACTATCCTTTTTATACCCTTTCACCGCCACCCCCTTGAAGGCACCTGCATTTGCTTCATCACGGACGACGAAATCGCGCGCTGGAAAAGTTCACTAAAAAAAATAGGCCTCATTTTTGAGAATCTACAAGAACTCGAAATGGTGAACCGAATTAGCGATCACGAATACACCAAAATAAACAGTGCAATTCTCTGCTGCAACAAAATGGTACAATTGCAAAACAAAATAAAAGACAATAAAAATAAATCCATTTTAAGCAAGCTAGCTAGAGAAGCCGAATTGGAAGACGAGGATGGAAGCTCCTCAGACTCGGATAACCCATCTGGCAAAATAACAAACGAAGCCATTCTCAAGCAGTTGCTACGTCTAAAGAAAGAGCTGTACAATACACTCTACAGGGCGTAGCAGCAGTGTGAAGATAAATAAAAAAATGAAAAATTAATTCGAGGAACACTCCCCCCATGTTTTTTATGATGAAAATGTGTCTCTGCGCATCGCTTTGTTGTGGGTGCAAAGAAGGGGAGAAGCTTTCCGCATTTTTTAAGTAATCCATTTAGGAGCAATCACTTTTTTTTTTTTGCTCTACTCGCATTAACATCTTATCCGCGTCGTTTGTGCCATTTCTGCCCATCTGGTTTCAATTTTTCCAGTTTAATGTTACCACTTGTTCATTCTACCACACACACTGCGTCTGCATCGCTGCCCGTATGGCATGCTTCGAGTGTGTGTTTGCCTATGCAATTTTTTTATTTTATTTTTTTTCACACCCCCAATTTATTCGCAAAAGGAAACATGTGTTTACCTTAACATTTGAGACATAAGTAAAAAGACGAACATGAATTTTCAACAAATTAGCAAACCGGGTGAGGGTATGCTAGATCGTTTTTGCATAAATACTCTAATGATTCTCAGTCGTCTCCCTATAATGATGACATGATGTAGTACAAAATGGAAGCGGTAAAATATATGTCCCCCATGGAGGCAGCGCTCTCCCGAGATTTCAGTGACCAACTTGAGGGGGCCGCTTTCCATCGTATGGGTATAACCGCACAAATATAGACCCAGGTACAGTCGATGCTCCAACGCACGGCATTAGGAGCAATAGAATTTTCCATGCGTTCACCACTCCGTTCCGCCCTTTCTACAAAGGAACGGGTCTTTGAACTACACAGGTGCACATCTGTTAGAAGTGAATTGTGCAGTTCCACACGAGTGATATTTTTTTCAATAAAAAATGCTCACTTGTTGTATTCTACTTTTAGATAAATTAAAACTGTGGGGGGTGAGATAATACATGCACAAATATTTATCCTGCGTGAATAAATTTTTTTTTTTTTCCCTTCCTCCCGCGACGGTGAAATAGTTCAGGGTTTGTGCATTCACTTTTTAAGAGCGCATTTAATTTCACTGGGCCATTGAGTTCACCCCTCTTCTACTTATACACATGCTAATTTGATTCCCCTAGGCTAAAATGGGTCCGCTGATCCACTCATGAGGCGCGGAGTGGCCGTTTGTTCCCACACCTAATTTTGGCGTTCCCCGCAGTGGTGGTGGTGCTACTCATCGATGTATGTACAAGCCCATGTATACATACGGAAGTGTCCCATGTTTGTTCCTTTCCCCCCCTTGTGAGAAGCCCAAATCAAGCGGGGAAGGATGAGACCAGAAAGCGTATTGCCCTTTTTTTGTCCTATATCCCCCCCATTTCCACTCCCCCCCCTGGGTAACAAGAAAGATGAAGAAAATCCTTCTGGGGTCTGTGCGCCCATTCAACACGTATAACATCCCTTCCATTATCAACAACTCAAAGGTACACAGAACGTATAGAGAAAATCACAAACGAAATGAAGACGCGTTGATGAAAATTTACAACAAAGAATTGGTGGCATTCCCATATGACGAGGAAAAATTTAATAAGCTGCTAAATATTCATGGGACGATAAAAAAAAAAAATGTTGCTGATTTTTTTTTCAATGCAGACATGTATATCAATATAAAGAATGACAAAGTAAGAAATGTTAGCCCTTCCCATTTCGCCATTGAAAATGTCGATAAGTGCTTCCTGTTTGAGAAGGAGTACTTGGACGGGTTTTTCCCTGAGGGGCTTGCTGGGGAGTTGCCCAAGGACATTTTGATGCACGATGGGGGGTGCAGCGATAGGGAGAGCGGCACGCAAGCCAAAGGAAAGGAAGCCGTCCCGGATGGTGATCACCAAAATGATAACCTCGACATGTTTCTGCGCGAACTGGAAAAGAATGACGTTGTGCCAGATCAACGCTTGATAAAGAATGCGCAAAATTTGAAGGGTGTAGGACTGCTGTTCAGAAAATTAGCGTACGAAATTGTAGATGAGTTGAAACATTTTGAAGAGAATTACAAAATGTGCAAACGGAGGGATTCATACAAGCTGGATAGCTATTTTGCGCAAAGAGGAGAATGCACTAGTTACTACGATGGTGGTGATGCGAATGGAGACTCAAATGACGAAGTGAACGAAAAGAGAAACAACTCCAGGAGCAACTACAATGGGATGTCCTACAAAAGTAGAAGCTTCCTAATAGACGGAAAGAGAGGAACAGGAAAGAGCTGCATTCTAAACACCATAGTCCTCTGGGCCAAGTTAAATCAATGGTTTGTTATCTTCGTCCCTGATATAAAAAAATACAAATTTGATATTAACACCATTGTTCGAAGTAATACAAATTTGTATATTCAGCCAGAACTGAGTAGACAATTTCTGGAAGACTTAGTAAAAACAAATGAATCATTTTTAAAAAAATTAAAAGTTGATAAAGGAATTCTCGAAATTACCTGTCTAGATGGAACACATTTATTGTACAACAAAAAAATTTATGATGAGATTATCAGAAAAACAATCGATGCGGAAGTAGCAAATGATGAACAAAATTTTAATGCCTTAAATGAAAGGGAAAAAAATATGTACAAGCAAAAATTGTACAAATTTTACTATGACAATGTGAAAATACCAAACCTACTGGATAAATTTTCAGTACCCCCTAATTTATTAGAATTAGCACACATTGGGATTAATAATGTATCATATGCCAACCTTTGTGTCTATGCATTGTTTGAACATTTGAAAAAACAAACTGAATTCCCAATTCTTATAGCTGTCGATCAATTCAATTTCAACCTCAGTGTCTCAGAATATCTGTCCATTAATTTTGAAAATACAAAATATAATGGGTACATTCCTACATACTATTTTACTATTCCTAAATTGCTACTCAAGTGGGACGCCAATAAATATAAAAGGTGCGTCAAAATTGTTTCCACCTGTTGGGACAGAGAAAATAGAAGAGATTTCAGGCCAGAACTTTTGGGCATACACAAAAGGGATGTTAAAACAGCTCGTAATTTCACCCTGCGCGAGTTTAAGAATTACGTTGCCCATTTGTACAACCAGAACGTCATATATAATTTCGATGTGAATAAGTTGGAATACTTCTACATGCTGACTGGTAAGGTCATTCTGTCTGCATATGGAATTCTCGCATTTTGTGCATATAACGGGGGGCATGCTTCGGACAAGCGCTTGGTACTGTAAATTTTTTTTTTTTTTTTTTTTTT